TGGCCAACGTGAAGGTACCCATCCTCGGCGCGGATTTCCTGGTGCATTATGCACTGGCGGTCCATATGAATCCTAGGACTCTGTCCGATACGACTACGAACCTCCGTGTCTTAGGTACCCCTACACGTCAAGGCTCCACAGGAATCAGCGTCGCAACATGCCATGGTCGCGAGTACTTAGATCTCCTGACACAGTTCACGCATATAATGCTGCCACTCCAAGTAACGGCTTCAGGTGACCATCAGACTCAGCACCACATCAGAACTCGAGGTCCTCCCGCACACTCCCATCCGCAATGACTCGCTCCACACAAACTGGCGTACGCCAAGGAGCAATTCGACAAAATGCTCAGTGATGGCATCATTCGTCCTTCCGATAGCCCTTACGCCTCGCCACTACACTTAGTGCCTAAACCTGGTGGTAAAGAATTTCGGATATGCGTCGACTACCGAAAATTAAATTCATCGACCGTACCAGACCGATACCCTGTCCCTCATATCCATGATTTTGCATCCGGACTGGTGGGTGCTCGCATCTTCTCAAAAATCGACCTGACATACCATCAGATCCCCATCGCTGCGGAAGACGTCCCTAAGACGGCAGTCACAACACCGTTTGGCCTATATGAATTTCTGAAAATGCCGTTCAGTCTACGTAACGCTGCCCAGACCTTCCAACGGCTCATAGACGAAGTCCTGCGCAGACTTCCGCACGTATACGCTTACATCGACGACATCTTGGTGGCCAGTACAGACGCCGATTCTCACAGGCAACACCAGCGACTCTCGCACTATGGCCTGAAGTTGAACCTGGACAAGTGCGTTTTCGGGGCGCCCAGCGTTGATTTCCTTGGGCACCGCACCGACGCAAACAGCATAGCACCTCTGCCAGACAAGGTCAGCTCGATCCGGGATTTTCCTACACCGAAGTCCATGAAACAATTGCGACGTTTCCTCGGTATGCTCAATTTTTATCGTCGGTTCATCCCGAATTGCGCTACCATCCTCCAGCCACTGACGAACCTGCTGCAGAGAAGGAATAAGGACATCTCGTTGGAGGGAGATGCTCTGCACGCATTCCATACAGCGAAGGCTGCATTGGCAAATCATACTAGGCTCTCACATATCAACGACGATCCGGAGACGCGACTCTTCCTGACAACCGACGCATCAGACACTGGCGTGGGCGCGGTGGTTGAGCAAGAATTCAATTCACAACGCGAACCCATCGCATTCTTTTCAGCCAAGCTTTCGCCAGCCCAGAGAAAATACAGCACCTTCTCCCGAGAGCTGCTAGCCATTTATCTGGCCGTCAGGCATTTCAGGCACTTACTGGAAGGTCGAGATTTTACCATCTATACCGACCATAAACCATTGACGACCGCGATGAGTAACAACTCGGACAAGTATACAGCTCGCGAGATCCGGCATCTGGACTACCTGTCACAGTTCTCGACCGATATTCGTCACATAAAGGGGAAGGACAACGCCGTTGCAGACACATTATCGCGAACGGAAATTCAATCTCTTCAGACTGGCGTCTTGGGTCAAGATTCCATAGCCGCTGAACAAAAATCCGACCCCACGCTGCAAGACATCCTTTCAAATACTTCTTTAAAGCTTCAAAAGTTCCCTGCATCCTTCAGCGATGACACCCTGTACTGTGACACCAGCCTAGCAAGCCCTAGGCCCTACATCCCACCGACACTTCGGAGACAGATATTCCAACATTTCCACGGGCTGTCTCATCCGAGTAAGAGAGCTACAGTCAAACTTATTACCGACCGATTCGTTTGGCCCAATATGAATGCGGACATTCGAGAATGGGTTTCCACATGCATGGAGTGCCAGAAGTGTAAGGTTCACCGACACACTAAATCCCCCGTCGGCACCTTCAGCAGTCCCGATGAACGGTTCTCACACATACATGTCGACTTAGCGGGACCGCTTCTGATGTGTCAGGATTACCAGTATCTTTTGATGGTTGTGGATGGTTTTTCGTGGTGGCCGACTGCCATACCTATAAAAGACACTTCTGCAAGCACCGTCTCCAGGACCATCCTGAAAGAGTGGATTGGAACTTTCGGCACGCCCTAAGTCATCACGACCGACAGGGGGTCACAGTTCCAGTCGTCCCTTTTTTGGGAGTTTACCAGTCTACTTGGTGCCAAGCACATAAAGACTACTGCTTATCATCCGTGCGCCAACGGCTTAGTTGAGAGGTTTCATCGGTCCCTTAAAACCTCCCTGGCCACTAGACCTGACACTATCAATTGGGTGGATGACCTACCTTTAATTCTCCTAGCATTGAGGAATACCGTAAAGGAGGACTTAGGTTGTTCACCCGCCGAACTGGTTTTCGGTACACCTCTTGCGCTGCCCGGCGAATATTTCGATGACTCCCGTCAGACGTTTTCAAAACCAACATCTCCATTCGTCGAGGAACTCCGCCACAAAATGGCCCGGCTTAAATATGCAACTCCGCGACAGCAACCGGTGAATTCGTACATCCCTCAACACTTGTGAGATTGCAAATTCGTCTTCGTACGGAATGACGCCGTGAGACGACCACTCACGCCGGCATACCAAGGTCCTTTTCAGGTTCTTCGGCGCACCGACAAGCATCTTACGATCAAGCGCGCCAACTCGACCGACACCATTGCGATCAATCGGACCAAGCCTGCTTTTCTGGAGAAGCGACAGTATGACGCAAACCCGGCCCTGCGGCCCCCTAATGCTATTCCAGCACACCCCGCAGACGCAGCACCACAGACATCAAACGACACCCCAGCGACTCCTGTGCAGCAGACCAGATCCGGTAGGAGGGTCACTTTCCCTAAAGACATTCGTAAATATTATTATTATTAATTGATATGATCAATTTTCTAGGGGAAGGGCCTTGTCGCGGTCGCCGATTAGCCGCTCCTGAGAAAGCCGACCTTGACCTTCACAACCCCTGATCTCGCAGATTTAGGTCAAGCAACATGCGAGAAATCGGACGACTAGTCCAATATTGTTGATGCCAAAATGTACCTTGTGAGCATCGGATTATGCAGCGCCCTGTCAAACATCGGCAACCATTGATATTAATTTAATATCTACGGCTTTCTACTCCCTCTAGCCAGGGAGTACTTGAATCAATCGTTCCAAATATCGTCAGCCACTTTTTTCGTCCAAATCCAAGCTGCTCGGCCCGGGGGCCTAGATCAAAGTCTAGTACACTGCCTTTGTGAGCTTCCGGTGCTTTGTCGAGAGTGTTATTCTTCGGCGCGATCCCGTTTCCGCGGTCGATCCGCCCTGGAAGACGTATCACTTCTCTGACCTGCTTCGCCTAGTGATACACTTTGGCACGACCCTGTGAAGTCGTATCACTATTCTGCCTCGGCCCTGTTTAGGGACTCCGTCTTCGCAAAGTGATACACTTTGGCGCGATCCCGTTTCCGCGGTCGATCCACCCTGTGAAGTCTATCACTGTTCAGTCTTGGCCCTGTTTAATCGATCAACCCTATACGACCAGACCAGATCAACCCTATACGACCGAACCAGCTACGTTCGCAGATCAACTCTATACGACCGAAAGCTACCTTAAACAACAAACCAGTCATACCGGACTCGACACCGATGTAAACGCATTAATAAATTCGATGTTATTGTTCCAAAAACCTTTGCCTTTGTCTCCTCATTGTCTTAGCTGTTCACACTTTTCTTCATAAAGCTTGCGGGGGCAACATCCTTATTGGCCCCGCAATACCTACCTTGATAAGTTTGCAACCTGTGTACAATTTCATCAAAATCAGTTAAGTAATCTGGATGTGCATGAATAGCATATACACACACATTTTTATGTTTTATAGATATAAATTATCATTTTAAATCTTATTTGGTCATTGTTATATTTAAAACACCCATTTTACAAGTCATTGAAAATATATATATATGCAGGTAAAAGTCCATATTCTAAATTTGATAAAAATTTTTTTATTTTCTTAGATTAATGACTTCAATAAACACTCTTTAACTCTAATTTATTTTTAAGTGCAAAGTCTCAACTGTATTACTGTTTTTAATGAACAATTTGAATTTTTTCGCTATCAACACTCTGCGGCCAATCTGGAGATCAACAGCCCTCTTACTTTACAGCAAGATCTGCATCTTAAACACCAACGTCAAATTGGTCCTACTTTATGGTTCAGAAACCTGGCGGGTAACCAAGACCAACACCCAGAAACTTCAGACATTTACCAACTGATGTCTCTGGAACATCCTTAATATCAGGTAGTCGTCTCTATCGACCAACTGTGAGACAGGACCAGCCAAGCCCCAATTGAGATTGACATCAAGAAATGGAAATGGGATGGATCAGTCACACAGGCCCCTGACTGGTATCCACAAGTGAAAAATAGTTCGACCAAAACAGACTTGGCACAGAAGTGTTGACGCAGAGGTGAAGGCAGCCGGCATGATATGGGCCGAGCTGACAAGGATTGCTTGGAACCACGTCTGTTGGAGAGGTGTTTTTGCAGCCCTATGTTCTCCAAGGAATCAAGAGGCATAATAATAATAATAATAAAATAATAATTTTGAATTGTTTAAGGAAATTAACAACTGGTATTGTTAAAATATATTTTCTTGAGATGTGAAAAAATTAACAAACTTTATCTGTATATGAGGCTAGGCAAAGCGTTTTTTTTTTATTTCCATGTGTCTGATTTTATCTAAAAAAGATGTCATTATATTCTAACAAAATTTTCACTTCTATATTAAACCCATCCTGAGAAACTATTTTAACCTTTTAATTTGCATTGTCAGTGAGCATTAATCAGATAAAGGTAAAAACCTACAATGAACAGCAGATTTTTATTTTAGGAAACCTATAATAAATAATTTTTTATAATTGATATTGGATTTTATAATGGGTGTCAATGGGTTGTTATTGAAATTATTTGTGGATGAATTGTACACATTTTAAACTTAAAAAAAAATGGCAAAAGTAATAGAAGATTAGAAATAGAAAAGGTAATATGTCATGAGTCTTGGTGTTCCAGAGGTATGGATGTCTGAAGGTGATAAAAATGAAATGTGTGACAGCTGAAAAGATATGAAAATAAAAATAGGAAAATTGTGAAAAAAGTAAACAACAGGATAGATAAATGGGGGGGAGAAAGGGAGGGGCAAAAAGATAGAGATATAAGGGAGGGGTGAGAGGGAAAAGAGAGAGGGGGAAGCAGAGAGGGAGGGAGAGCAAAAGAAAAAGAGAGAGACAAAGGAGGGGGAGCAAAAAGAGAGAGACAAAAGGAGGGGGAGCAAAAGAGAGAGAGACAAAGGGAGGGGGAGCAAAAAGAGAGAGACAAAGGGAGGGGGAGCAAAAAGAGAGAGACAAAGGGAGGGGGGAGCAAAAAGAGAGAGACAAAGGGAGGGGGAGCAAAAAGAGAGAGACAAAGGGAGGGGAGGGAAAGCAAAAGGGAGCAGAGTGGGGAGAGAGAGAGAGAAAAAAACAGGGAGGAGAATAGAGCTAGGTTATCAATTAATAAAAACCATAAAAGCAATTCAAATATGAGCAAATGAATTTTTTTTATTTTGATCAAGTGACATTTAATAAATATACCTGTATCTTTTTTTTTTTTTTTCATTTTTTCACGGTTTAATTTTTATTTTAAATGTATTGTGTTGATATATGTCCCCCCTCACATGGGTGTTGTGGTTTTAATAAGTACATCAATGTACTGACTGTGGTGAGCATAGGGTATGAAAGACTTGCCCAAGGTCTACATAGATGTCCCTGATTTAGCTTGAACCAAAGCCTACCATGATTCTGGTTAAAAAGCAGGCATCTTTACCAGGTGATCTATGTCACCTGCCCCCATATCCATTTTTGCCTTTTTTTTTTTGTTTTGTACCGTTGCACATCAAATATAAACCAATGCCAAACATAAATAGATACTCAGACATTTGATGTACAGCAGCTGATTAATAGAAAGTTGTGGCCAAAAAAATATATACATATTTATAAAAGAATTAAAAATGTTTAGGGTGGGGAAGGAATTTGTTATTTTTTTTTTTTGTTTAACGATATGGGGGCTAATTCTTAGATGGAAATTTTTCTTTTTTCCTTGTATTAATTTCATTCTTCAGTAGAAGATCAGCACAAGAAGACATTAATGCTGTTTAAATTCTATTTCAAACATTTGGAAAAATCAATGTGAAGCTAAAATGCAAAAGAAAAGGAAACAATAACAACAAAAAAATATTGATGCCAATGTTAAAATAATTGGACTAACGAAAAATGATCCTAAGATTCCATTAGAATAATAATTCTTCCATTATTAAAATAATCGTAAAATGGAAACTGACATTTCATTAAGCAAAAATAATCCCATAAACAGAATATTTGACAGTTTTATAAAAATAGAACAATAATCTTATTTTTAATTCATTAAAAGGATCAATTTTGTTGTAATAATCTTAGTAAGGATGAAAAAATAACAGAAGAATAAATGATGAGAAGAATAAAAAGAAATTGTTTCCAGCAATTCTCTGTTCGGGTGAAAAACAAAAAACACTTCTATCAAGTAGGGTGCAGGTCCTTTACACCCACTACTTAAATCTTTGCAACAAACATGAACCAATAAATTCTCAATCCCCCCTGGGGAATCCAAACGAAAATACCTGTCTATGACAAAAAAATAAATGGGTGTTCTGCAGTTTGTTCAGATCCAAAACAGAAGCCCATCACTGACTCATAGCAGGCCTCGAGGATTGGAATTGTACACATCTTGTCTAGAAAAAAGAACGAAAATTAAAAATACAAAGAAATAATAATAAAAACCTAACCTTATTTTTAAGATTTTTACTTAAAAAGATACAGCTGCTTATGGTAGGTTCCCGAATTTCAGCTTCTAAATTGTTTGGAATATTTACAAATCATGAAATAAAAAGTTCTGATTACCTGATAAGGTAATTATTCAACTTATTCGGCATAAAATAAAGGTGACAAAACAAAAAAAAAAAAAAAACAGTTAAATGCCAAATTTCTGATTTTCTACAACTGGTGCTGTACAAGGAAAGTCGCAGCTGTTTCTTTGTAAGAGAAATTGTAAGAAAAGCTATAAACATTTCTCTGTTTATATGCCAAGAAGATCGCCCAACTATCCAGTAAAGCTAAAGAAAATTTAGTTCCTCGTCTTGGAAACCTGAGCAACTGAAGAAAGCTGAAAGATTTTGTTGACCAAAATACAAACTTCAAATCTAGTTTAGGAAGAAGTAATATTTTAAAAACTTAAACTCTCAGGTAAATCAATTAGCCGAGAGAAGGGGAGCAGCTTTTCAAAAGATTGATCGAACACTTAGTCATGTAGACTATGCATTAATGCAAGTTCAATATAAGATGATTTGGATCATCAGTCAAAATTAGAAACTGTAATATACTGTTATCTATAACTTTAGTGTAGAAATCAACAACAATCAAAATGACTAACAACAATGGCTGAAAACATTGCACGCCATCATTTCCATGGGATTATCTGATTGCAAAATGTTGTTTATAGTCGATTAAAAACTTTTAAAATGAGAAGATTGCACCAATATACCTGATGTTTCTACTAGAGAAACGGAAAATAATTGTAGTTATTTTAAATAAGGCAAAATTAATTAACATGATATGTAATATTGTTGAAATATCTTTAAAATTGTCCAAACTTCGACAAAGTATTCTCATTATTCTTTTTTTGACTAGTTTTTCTTTCATATTTTTTTTGAAAATCAGATAACGAAGAAAGTTTTCTGACTAAATTTGAACGATGTGATCATATTAAACTTTTATAGCCCAATTGGTGTTTTATTCCAATCAGACAGGCTCCCAATCTAGATTTTGCTTGTTTAATGGTCAGAGAATATAAAAGCAACTGAAGTATTAAAGAGAGAGAGAGAGAGAAATAAAATAGAAAAACTGGTAAAAAAAAAAAAAAAAAAAAAAGAAAAAAAGAAAAAACATTTTGATAATTCTTTTGATCGTTGATAAAAAAAAAAAAAAATAAATCAGTTTAAATACTCCTACAAACACTAATGTAAAGAGCCTAGCAATAAGGACATAATGCAACAGAACTCTGGGAAGAGTTAAACCAGAAGAAAGAAGAGAAGGACAATGGACTAGGCAGTATAATTTGATAAGAGAAACAATACTGGCAACTGTATAAAAAGAACAGTAGAGAAAGAAGTGTGTGTGTGTGCGTGTATAAAGCCTTTGCTTTCTGGCGGGGGATGGGTAGAGGCTGAAATTATCTTCATATGAAAGCTCTTCTAAATAGGACAGGGTTATTTCACTGTACTCGATTCAAGAGATTTGTGGTAGATGCTTTTCTTTTTTGTTTAGTCAGCAGAAACTGTTATGAAAATGCGTGAAGATTTAGAAAGGCTCAGTTGCTACAATAAAAATGATAATCATAAACTGGGATAAATTCCCCAACAAACTGGGGAGAAAAGTGGCATGAGAGGCAAAGGGCACTCAGCAGCAACTGTAGTTAAAAATTTCAACCTTTTGCAATGTTGCAAAAATCGAATGGCAAACAAGTCTTTAAGAATTTCATAAGGATGAGGACACTTGGCGTCCATGAGAAAATTCAAAATCATTGCCAAGGGAGCTAACCAAAGGTGAGTCTACAAATTTCAATATGAAAATATTATTAAATTTTTTTTTTTTTCAGATAGTTTTTAGAAGTTAATGAATGCAAGGGAACTGTGGTCTAACAGAACAAAGTCCCTGGCCAAGAACAAAGCTAAAAAATTTTCAATATATCAGGAAAGAAATATTATTATTCATCCCCCCCCTCCTACAAAGATTCTTTTCAGCTACTAGAAGTAATTCTACTATTGCTATGATGACAAGCATCAGACCTTAGCATAGATGAACCTAAGGGCTTAGATTCTCTTTCTGGTGGGGCGGTGGAAATACTATTAAAATTTAAAAAGAAAAATCTTTTGTTTGTAATAAAGCATAAAAAAAAAAAAAAAGAAAAAGAAAAAAAAAAGCTTAAGCAGAGAGTGAGAGAATGTGTGTGTCTGTGTGTGTGATAGTGAGAGAGAGAGAGAGAAAAAGAGAGCTTGTTTGTATCTGGTGGCTGTAGCAACATCTCACATGGTGGATGGTCCCTACAGTGTTTACAGTGGGCATTGCAGTGTCCCTTTTTAACACAATATGGTCACTTGTGACAGCAGCTTGAAGAGAAAAGGTTAAACTCAATGTCGTCGTCGTCACAATATGGGGACAGCCTCCTAGCAGCACCAGCTTCCTTCATTTCAGAACATCACACATACAACGTTCCATGGTGGTTTCCATCTGACACAATGTCCAAGTCTAATTCTCCTGATTCGTGCATATGCATCTGATTCAGGGAGGCTGTTGCCATGGCAATGTCAGGCATCATGTCGCTCAGAGCACTCTCACCACATGAGTTGGGATCATTCTGAAAGTAAACCAAAGAAAATATATTTTTTAAATAACACAAAAACGTTTCTCTCTAAATTTCTGAGAAGAGGACTTATCTTTATGATACACTAATTGATGAGTAGAACAATCAAAATTTCATTGTCACTATAACAACCAAGATGAGGATACCAGTTTCAATAAATCAATGTATAGCAAAACAATCAGTGAAAGTTAGAGAGCTGAGGAATTGGTCAATGGTTAACAAATAAGCTATTTGAAAAAATAGAAACTTCTTAATGTTTATTAAAAGAAAAAGAAATATCCACTTTACATTCAACTAAAAGGACAAAACATTCTTTTACATTTATCCTAATGCATATATAGTTTAAATTAAGAGTCTTTTCCACTTGACACACTCAGTAATTGAGCCACTGACAAAAATTCTGAGTGGTAAAAGTTCTCCAGATAACAGGCAAACCACTGGCTAGAGAGAAAAAAAAATTAGCTTTTATTAATCTCCCCTGGGCGTTCTTATTCCACTCAATAGGGGTGACATCTCTATTAAAAGCTGAAGTCTACATCTGGTTGACTGAAAGTTGTGAGTTCACTCACTGTGATGGGCAGTAAATTTTATTTTTCCCTTCAACAACAGCATATAAACAAAAATGCCAAGCGTTAATAAATCCCCCACCGAGAAATTCAAAGCTATGATTATTTTTAACATAAATCAATTCAATGATAAATTTTAAATTATTTTCCATGTGACATAACTTTCATTCAAGAACAGTGAGGGGAGGGGGGGAAATCAATTTCTTTGAAAAGCTAATATATTAATGGATATAGGTAAGTCTATTGAGCATTTATTGATTTATTGAGTATATTAATAGATATGCAGACAAGCACAAGGAAAATGTAACTCTGCATAGTTATCTCCCTTGATTTACAAGTGACTAATGAGAAACAGGACATCTCACCTGCATTAATGTGAACTAAAAATCACCAGATTCAAAAGTTTGATGTAACGAGAATTTTTGAAACTAGATATGTGACAAAACTATTTTTAGATTATTTTTCAAGTATTCCATTTTTCTACAATGATCAGCTTCATCTGTGTCGCTACAATTGTTTCATCGGAGTAGGAGGCACTAAAACATTTTCTATTTCAGTTTTCAAGCAACAAAATGCATTTTCAGTGGAAATTATTTTAACATGTACATGAGGAAAAGTAATCTTTTCAGAGTAATTGGTAATCTAATGAGAATTGTTTGTCAATTGATAACACAACATAGTAAATTCATATCCTGAAGAGGAGGAAGTTCTTTTAATGACCAAAATCTTTCAGGATCTGTTTACTCTTTTACTCTCAGAATGGTATAATCCAAAAGGTTTATAAAGAATGTACATTTATCATGAATGTAGGTCAAGATAAACCTCTCAGTAGCTTTTATAATACTCTTCCTTATAGATAAGTTATCCAGGTAAGCAAATGTGTCAGAAAGAGTTATTAACAAACATCTGTGAGAAGGTTACTCCAAAATTGGTATAGTTGACCAGGGTTTCAAAAACAGTACAATCAGACTTGATGATGGGCTGATTTCAAGCCTCTTGTACTAAATTATCAATATTGTGCCACAGTATTCACCAGGTTGTATGGAGTAAGCATCTAACAGTATTAAGTGAGAGTAATCAACTACCATTCTTTTCTTGGTTACTACAGGTTGAATTCACTAAGGAGGGAAAGTGCTTGGAATTAAGTATCGCATCAGTTGCAATAAAGTGTTGACCTGTAGAACTAGATTTTCTCAACTTCACAGTCATTGGACTGCAATCATTGGTCATCATTAGTCACTGTCTCCGCCTGCAGCCAATCGCAAACTAACATGGCTTATTTCTCAACATTTATTACGATCTTCAGCAAGCTTATTTGATGTCTGCCACTCATAAGTTGGGGACCACAAAAATGATGTTATCCCTCCGCCTCTGTTTTGGGTTTTCTGTAACTTCTTTTTCCAGGCATTAGTAAATTTAGCAAAAAGAGGGGCAGAAAAAAGGTAGCCAATCCACACACATTTAAAGGAAGTTTCTTTCCATTGAAATTTTACACAGAAATTCTCTGACGTTATTTGATAAAAGTCATGTCCTAAGATGACATCAAAACAATCTGATATTCTGGTATTGACATCCCTTTAGACTTCCATTCACCAAACAAAGACCAAGAACCTGGAAACTTAATCGTTGCCATAGACACAATATTAATTCCTGTATGTGTATGCAACTATAGCCACATAGAAATCTCCCAGACCTATGTTCATAAATATTATGATATATTCATGGTCAAGTGCTATTCTGCTGAAGTACCCACAAAAAGTGTTAATCTTTTGGTTGTATTTGAGAAAAAAAAAGAAAAGAAAAAAAATCGACTTAATCTTTTATTAAAGCTAAATTTATTTTTATTTAAAATATTTTTTGAAGTACCCAGTGAGGACAAAACTCACGAACATACTTCTAACACTACTACTAAAACTGAAATCAAGATGAAAGAAATGCTAGTCAAAATTTAATAATAATGTCCATCTAAAAATAGTAAAAAGCAAAAAAAAAAAAAAAAAAAACTTGCTTGCCCAAAATTAAAGAAAATCTCTCTCATACAGACAGGCAGGCTCTCACACACACGTCAATTCACAGACATAAATATATAAAACAAAATTCAAATGTATATCACACAATTGTAAACATGCTATCAAGTCTGTTCCAAACAAACAAGAGATTTCTAGCATCAACTAATTGCTTAGGGAAGAATTAAACCCTGTTAAGCTGATAAGCTAGTATAAACCTTGACCTCAAATCCTAATCCTTTACAATATAAACAAAACATTTGAGCAAATATTATCTTTGTTGATAAAGTTCAATGGGTTGGTGATTGGAAAGAGGAAAATTTTTCTGATTTTCAGAGACAAACTTTTGATGCATTTAGTTTTTATTGAAACTACAAAAGAAGAATCAAAGAGAGAAATATTTGAAGTTGGCTAAAAGGATAGAATAAACAAGATTTGTTCATTGTAGAGAAATGCTTTAAAAATATTTCTGCTTTGTGCCACATTAGGAAGTGGGAATTCAGCTTCACCTGAGAAGAGACTAATTAATCTACAAGAAAGATTCATTCATCATAATTGGAATTCTTGCAGAGTAAAATCCAGAGAAGACTATTTTATCCAAAACAAAATATTTGTCTTTGATTCTTTACGCTGTAGTGAAAGAGATAATCAGTTACCCCGAAAAAAAGTTTGCGTTTTGTGTGCGATCTGCCGAAGAAAAATTACCAAAAAGTAGTCAGCAAAAATCTACATCAATGACTAGAAGCTATGCTAATGTTCTTCCCTCCCCTGAATAGCGTGACCAATCAGAAAATTCTCTCAGTGAACAGGAGTCGTTTTTCGCTTATAAAAGGAGATGATTTTTTTGAGCTGTGGAACGAACACACGTTGTTGTTGGCGAGAAGTGAAGGTTGGATTTGTGACCCCATTTTGTTGTTTCTACAGTGTGTGTTGGGCTGTTACGTCAGACTATCGTGTGAACTGCAATTTGGCTACAAGTGTTGCGGCTGAGAAACAAGAAATCTATTGCAGTTGCTACTATCAGTTGACAGTCTTTTCTTTACTACAAAATACGCTTCAGCCTTTATAAAAAAAAAAAAGTGAAGGTTTTGCAAACAATGTTTGTCATTTTTGTAGTTACCTGTTTAAGTAAGAGGTTGAGAAGACTTATTCAGAAGAAAAACTTATCTACAACTTTTCAAACTTAGAAAAATATTTCCTTCAACAACAGTGAAGGTTTTGTCAACAATATTTAGAATTCACAGCCATTGGCCTCGTACAAAATTATATTTACTTAAAGAGATAACTTTTAACCAATTCCTAAGATACAATGAAAGAAAATAACTTTACAAACACTAAAAATAAAATGAATAGAAAATTAGATTTAAAAGAATAGTATTTTTATTCAGTCTTATAATGCATCAATAGCATGCATCAAACTTTATGATGGGCAGGTAAATCTTACCTGTACGGGGCTGTAACACCTGGTTGGAGAGGGTACAGGTGTAGAAGGACTATGCTTGAGGTCAGGGTGGGTTGTACAATGGGCAACACAGTCAAGTGTTGTTACCTGAGGACAGCTGACCACCACAGGACTGTAAGATCGTGTTGGGGATGGCACAGGAGTGCTTGGACTGTGCTTGTGCCGGCTCGGAGATGAAGATGATGAGGAAGAGTTCACCTGATATTGTCGTTCCACATATTGTGATTCTTCTGGGTAGTAATACTGACTGTTCTGCAAGATTTCCACGGCCGAATCTGGCAGGCCAAATTCTCGCACTACCCGTAACTTAATCTGATATGTCACTGCCCGTTTGTCAGCATATGGGAGGGAGTAAGCCTTTTGGATTAGCTTTGTTCTTTGGAGTTCTTGTTCTCGGTGCAACATCATTATTAGAGTATTTCGGTCAGGGACTGCAAGTAGAACGAAGAAAAAAATTAATTATCAAACTTGAGAAATGAAGCTGAATAGTTTTAATATTAAATTTAAAATACAATATTAAGCTGAAAGTAGATTGTTCATTCGAGGTTGAACTAATGAAAATGTGATATTGAGCTTGACAATAGAATTGTAAAATTACATTATTTTAAATTAATCTTTAAAATTGTTATGGTAGGTTGTTCACCTCAAGTTGCACTGAACCATTATGAAGGATTTTATTATTATTCACTGTCTGTTGTGTTCATTTTTGCCCAAAGGAACTTGGGGCAAGATAAATTCATGTCTTTTCCATAAGCCCAGCTATGTGTTAAACAGTAGGGTGGACTGCAAACTAGCCTTGTGTGGCAGCCAGTCTAATAAAAGGACTGTTCTTAATTAAAAACTATAGAAAAAGGCAAGAGAAAAAGTCATGACAATTCAAGGATAATAAAGAAAATGAATTACTTACATCCTAAAGCGGCATGGCATTAAAAACTAGGTTCAAGTTTTATTATGGAGAGAGAAACAAATAGAAAAGTAATTCTATTTATTATTCTATAAGTATATTTTGAAGAATCAATTTAATCTTTTATGTCTTTTTTTTTTTTTGACATCACAAAAATCTACAGGTTTTTTTTTATAATTTAATAAAACTATGAAAGATGACCTGTCTATATTTCTGAGATGAGGTATTGTAACTATTTACATAGTTAACACTGTTGCCCTCAACTTTATTGTCATATTCACAACATTTCAACCATTGTACACTCCGGTTTTCTTCAGGTGATTATGTTGGAATTTTAAAATGAACCCTTTATTTAGTCCACAGGGGTAGAATGTTCTAGTTCCACTGGCCCAGTGGATAAAAGTTTTGGTTGAAGTAATCCAGTGAATTGACCCAAAGAGTTGTGAGTTCAATACCTGGCCACAGCACAGGTGAGCAAAAAACTTGGAGAGTTGAGTTACTAAAGGGAGATAACTGAAACTAACATATAAAAAAAAAGGTTGTAAATATGTCAAAGATGAGGACAAAATTACAAACAATGTAAATGGGGTAAATATGAAAGATGAAGCAAGTAAAAAAAAACAAAAAAAAAAACAGTGGGAAGTGAGGGTGACACTAGGGCACCTACCAGGTATGGTTCCAGCAATTACATCAACAGTGGAGGTAGGTGCCAAGTAGGCAACAGAAGGTACAGCATACTGTCGATCTTCAACCATATAAAGTGTGTCAGGTATAGAGGACATGTGAATCATACGTACATTCACCATGTCATTCTCCTGAACCTGACCCAGGTGTTCTTCCAACATACTCTGAAATAAGAAAGGAGAAATAAAATACTAATCATCTTTAATAAATAAAGAAAACAAAAAAGTGAATTAAACAAGAGTAAATTTCATTGCTTCATTTTAGAACTTCTAATACTTGCTAGTGTCTTCATTTGAATTTTTGTTGGTCATTATCCTAGGACTGTTAAGAAAGCAGTATAGACTGGAGATATATCTATATATATATATATATATATATATATATATATATATAAAAAGAATAATAGGAAAACTGTAATAGTTGCCAACATGTTTTGTCCAATGTGGACTTTCTCAAGGCAAAATGAAATGAATTTATTAAACGAAGTAACTAATAATAACAAAACAAAATGTCCTTAGCAACTGGAAGAATTTAGAGAACGCTATTTTCATACTGTTAGCTGAAATTACGTCATTTACTGTCGCGTGTGGAGATATTGTCTTTATTGCTGTATTTATGGATTCAATTTTCTTTTCTTTTCTTGGTACTGTTTTGTATGTGTGTTTGGGAGAGAAGTAATTCTGTTAAGGTGAAACAGGGAAAAAGCCTGGGCATAGATTAATATTTTGGGTAACTCTTCCAGTATTAATTATAAAAATTAAAATCTGATATTAATTATAAGTTTCTAAAATGAAAAAAAATATTGTAATCAATTAATACCCATGGTCCAATTTTTGGGATGGTGGACATTAATAAGTTATAACAATATCTCTTTTGACAGCCACATGCTCAGTTAATAATTTCATTGCCTATATCAAGATAATGTATTAAATGATCTGTATAAATATTTATGGAATCAGTCGGGGGAGGGGGAATTCATCTATACTAAAATCAGTTTCATTTTTAACTTTAAACTTGTGCTTGACAAATGCCTATTGACTTTAGATATTAATTGTATGCAAAAGTTACCAGCACTTTGAAGAGAGAAAGAGGAAAGAGGGGAGAGAGAGGGGGGGAGAGAGAGAGAGAGAGAGACAGACAGGGAGAGAGGGGGAGGAGAAAAGAGAGACAGACAGAGGAGAGAGAGAGAGACAGACAGAGGAGAGAGAGAGAGACAGACAGGAGAGAGAGAGAGAGACAGAGAGAGAGAGAGAGAGAGAGACAGAGAGAGAGAGAGAGAGAGAGAGAGAGACAGAGGAGAGAGAGAGAGAGACAGAGGAGAGAGAGAGAGAGACAGAGGAGAGAGAGAGAGAGAGACAGAGGAGAGAGAGAGAGAGAGACAGAGGAGAGAGAGAGAGAGAGACAGAGGAGAGAGAGAGAGATGAGAAAAGAAACAAAAAAAAATATCGACTAAAACTGGCTTTTTGCTGGAAGCTATTGCATACAAATTGTATGGCAATGAATTTAGAACCATTAAGTAAGCAGCATGTACTGAAAATAAAATCCAGGTGCATTCGTTATCTTTAGAAACCAATCTTACCATGACAGTGGTTTACAGAGGTGACTATGAAGGCTACCCACCCCTTCCTGAAATGTCATTCAAACTCTTATAGCCAATTTGTCTAAATGCTTCCAAATACAGAATTGGCAAAATCACTCAACGACACTCACCTTTGTCTCTTCATAGTATGGTGTAAACAGTCTTGGTTTCACATACATCCCGTTGTTCTTAGCTCTGATCCAAGCTCTAACACGCTGATTACCTCCTTCATCAGCAATCATATGAGAGGGGGGCGTACTGACCAGACCTCTTTTTATTGCACTATTCAGCACCTCACTGTTAGAAGGTATTACATGATCCATGCGGATGTGGGGTAAAAGTTCTGCTAAGATTTCTCTGAGTTCAACATCGTTCAAGTCTCGTTTGCGTATACCTTTCTTGCTCACACTATGGGCTGTGTGATTTAAAAGATTAGGTTCTGAAAGTCAGAGAGAGAGAGAGAGAAAAAAAGAAAGAACATTAGTTTTTTTACTTGAGAAAAGTAAATATTTCATTTACATAAAAAGGAGACACAAGATATAATAGATCAAAAAATTAAAATACAGTTTTCAATGCATTATAGACTTGTTTCTGTTTACGATGTAGAGAGAAATTTTTTTTTTGTAATACTGACATTAACACAGGTCAGAACTAGACTAGAAATAAGAACTAAATGAGATATCCCTAGACATAGGCAGTGGAACGAGAACAGTCTACTCCTGTAGTTTAACTAAAGGATTCAGTTCAGAATTCCCTTTAGGCTACCCATATTAATATACACCTGATGAAGGCTAGAAGACAACAGCTGAAACATTATAATCACAAAGCTAAGGACCATAGTACAGTGTAACCCGAATATAAGAGAGTTGTTGGGACCAGAGAAGAAGTCTCTTATATCCGGGTTTGGTCTATTTTATATACATTAACACAGGCTCTAATTTGGGACCAGAGAAAATCTCTCTTATATCCGGGTTTCTTTTATATCCGGGTCTCTTATATCCGGGTTACACTGTACAAATGTAAATAATGTAAATAAAGATAATTCCTTCTCCTAGAAATTTAGAGAGAAATTATTGAATTGGTATGGACCTGATGTGATACACCAATGGAAGCAGTTAGAAAAACTCCATAAAAAAAAAAAATGGCCACTGACATTCCTATACAGATGTAGAGACCTAAACTTAGTTCTGCCAGGTTTATCAACTGAAACACCAGTCTCAGTTTCAAGAGAGCAGGACACAACCTACTGAAGGAAACATCAGCTGGAACATAAAATATCCAAACAGACCTGGATAAGTTGTACTGTGAAGAATTTTAAAGGATCAAGGCTTGTCATATATGTAAACTTGCATTGATGAAAGAACAGTGTTGGAGTAACAAGAAAGCCAATGAGCTAAGATAGAAGGTTAGAAAAGCAGTAGAAAAGGCCAAATTGCCTAAATCAAATATCACAAGAGAAGAAAAGTTAAGCAATCAAGACCTTTTGAGTGAGTGACACTAGTATCATCATACTGCCAGCTTACAGAGGCAATGTTTCAAGGGTAATGGACAAGTTGGAATACTCTAAAAAATTGGTTAACCTATTTGGGGATGGCCACTATAGCAAAGTGAAAAATGATCTGACCCTAAAACCTGAGAGGAAGCTGTCACAGATCCTAAATAAGAACAAGGATTACTTTGCACAAAACAGCTGACTTGGCATTACAAGCAGAAAAACTGGACATTACTTAGCAAAATAATGCTCAAATCAGACAAATGCAGAATCTAAAAAGTCCTTGATAAGTCATACAGTCAAGCAATTCAAAGTATGAAGGCTCGCTCTATACATGTAAACTTGCATTGATGAAAGAACAGAATTGGAGTAACAAGGCCAACCATGGTCCAGTAAGAGCAGTTGTTAATATCAGTATTCAGCAGTTGAGTGCTTCTGAGGAATCAGTGCTAAACAAGGGTCTAAACTTTGCCACAACTATCAGGCAAGTCTATACTTAGACATGATAGTTCCAGTGGAGAAGATGGTTTTAATAATCCTGGAAGCTCAGATAGATGAGCTAAAGATTGAAAGTGAGACAAGCACTAGAAAAAGCCAAGCCACAAGAGAAGAAAGGTTGGTAATCAACAGCTTACAGAGATTGATTAATTTTCTATGGCTTAACCCTTTGCAGGTTATCTAAAGCCAGTACATATTTTTTAGATTGTAAGAATTTGTTTTTGAGATAATGGCTTAGTGATACAAATCTTACTAATTAACCCATAGCTAGAGGAGAATATGTGGATTCATACCTTTCCTAAAGGTATTTGTGCATAAGTGAATACAATGAACCCAACAAGAATTGGAACTTGGCACTCCAATTCTGAGCTATTATCCATTACACCACCCACACATCCAAGCTTATGTCACCTGATATTCCCAAGTGGTCACCCATCTATGTACTGACCAGGCTCAATGTTGATTAACTTCAGTATTATACAGGGATTGGTGTTTCAAAGTGATGTGACTGTAATCCACCTTACATAGTGACACTAGTACCATTATACTGTCAGCTGATAAAGGTAATACTTCATTGGTGATGGGGAATTTGGAATACTCTGAAAACTTGGCAAGCCTAATTGGGGATGGCAGAAATAGCAAGGTGAAAAAGGATCCGACCCTAAAACCTGAGAGAAAGCTATCACAGATCCTAAATAAGAACAAGAACTACTTCGCACTGAATAAATATATGAGGACGTGGGCCCAAAAGTAACCGGAATTGTGTCATATAATTTTATTCATTTATTGTTGCATGTTTATATTATCACCTTCAAAGTATTCTCCATTTGAAGTAATGCACCAGTCCAGATGTGTCTTCCACTGTTCAAAGCAGTCCTGGAACTGTTGTGAAGTTATGTTTTTTAATGACTCCGTTGTTTTCCTCTTAACCTCTTCTGCATCTGTAAAACATTTTCCTTTGAGGACTTTCTTCATTCAGGGGAACAAAAAAAAGTCGTGACTGTTTTTGATCTTTCGTGAGCAAGCGAGGCACCATTTTTTTCTGTAACTCTTTTCATTCCAGTCAAAATTTGTTGACATGAACTCCAGGACGCACCAGTCAAATCAACAAGTTCACCAATTGTTTGGTGATGGTCAAAGGTCGCCCTGAACGAGGCTGGTCTTCCAGCAACAATTGACAAGTGTGCAAACCACTCATAAACTTGTGTTTTACTCATGGCAGCATCCTTGTAAGCTGTTTTAAGCATGACAACTGTTTTAGCTGTTTTCCCCAGTAAAAAACAGAATTTCACAACAGCACGCTGCTCCTTCCTTTCAGCCATGGTAAAAATAGATGAAAAGGCGTGAAGCACTTCAAAACAAATGTGAACCACAGTGCTGTGTGCCTTCCCACAATGACACCAGTTAGCACATTAATGCCTGAGGGTTGCTCCAAGTAGCACTTAGTGGTGGAAGCCTGAACTACTACAGGTTTGTCACACAGAAAACGATTCCAGTTACTTTTAGGTCCCCTCTTGTAGATAGCCAACTCAACATTACACCAAGCTGCCACACATATATAGTCTCCAAGATTCACAAAGTTGGTATTCAATGGAGACCTATAGTCACTTACAGGTGCTCAGCATGCCACCTGCTGAGCAGATTCTTAGTGGATATAGTCAACCCACTAACAGGGAAGTCCTCATCCTATGTAAGAAACTCAATACACTTAGTTAAACTGATCCAAGGGGTTCCACATCCATAACAATCAAAGGGTAAGCTTGGATGTAATAAGCCTGTTCATCAGATTTACTACAGATGAGGCTCTGACAATAGTTTGAAACTGATTGGGATCAGTCCCTCTCTGGGAGAATGTACTAACATTCCAATAGATAATCTAATGGAAATGTTAACATTCTATGTATAGACAACAATCTTCCAATTAAAGTCTGACATATACCAACAGGAAGAAGGCTTGGCCATGGGTTTGCCATTGTCACCTGTGATGGCAAACATATACATGGAATACTTTAAGGAAATGGCTTTAGGAACAGCACTACTAAAGTCAATAGTATGCCTGAGATATATAGATGACACCTTCATACAAATACTGCTGGGCCATGTGAACTTTGATCCAGTTCACAATGGAAGAAGAAAATAATAACCAGCTAACCTTCCTGGATATACTAATAACTTGTACAGAGAATGGGTTCAAAACATACGTTATATCACAAGCTAACCTTCACTGGACAATACAGCAACTTCAATTTCCACCAACTATACAGTGTGAAGAAAGGGATCATTTGAGACCTACAATGCTGGGTAAAAATCCTAAGTAGTAACACAGATACATACTGACAAGAAATGATCAGCATCAAATGTACCCTTCAGAATAACAACTACCTGGCAAATATGACATCAGTGTTTACAGGTGAGAATAGAAGGGACAAGGCAGATCACCATAAAATTGCCACAGACCTTACCTTAAGGGCTAATTGTCCTATAGGACAATAGCCTAGTGAATCTGGTAACATAGTAATTATGAGATCAATCCCTAGGATGGGCAGTGTGAACTTGGGGACTCAGTGAAAATGAAAAAACAATAACTGAGCAATACTAAAAATAAGAAATAGATGAAATATCTGTAGACATGGGCAGTAGAACAATCTACCGGAGATTAAATAAAGGGTTCAGTTCAGAATTCCCTATAGGTTACCCAGATCGATATACATCTGAGAACACAATGGCGGGAACATAATGATAACAACAACAAAGATGAAGACAATAATCTGAATGTAAATGTGTAAATAATGATAACTCCTCATACCAGAAATTCAGAGAGAAAAGTTGCTTATTGCAATCTTCTATAAGACTGCTACAAGGTCTTCAATGAAATAAGAGTTGTCTCCCTTAGATTGAGTAACGTACCCAGTTTTTATTTTATTAGATATTTTGTATGATATAGACACAAGATATTGATGTTCTGAATATAAGAAAAAAAAAATCTTATTTTGAGGCCATTGTTATTGAGAAATTAGTATGATTTGAACTTGCATTGGTTGCTGTTCTAGCAACCAATGCAAGTTCTCAAACACTGAAACATGACGTTAATTCACCTTTTCTTAAGTTTAATATTTATTAACTAAAAAGAAAATTTACCTTCACAATTGACTTTATTTAAGTTCAGCATAGCTATAGGAAACATCAAACAGCTGTGGTTTACAAAGTCTTCAATAGTTTCAAATAAATTCAAAATATCAATAATGACAATTTTACATTGAGAAGTAATGATTTTTCTTAAGGACAAAATATTCTTTGTGACCTTTTGATAAATTTGCATGCCAGACAGGAAGGTATTTTTTTTCTTCTGGCATCTGAAGCATTTAATCTAAATGTGTACATCACTGGAACAATTTTAATAATATAAGAATCAGCATACAAAGATTTATTAGAGACAAGACTATCTTTGT